CACATATAAATGTATCATTGAAATAATGTGTCTCAAAATATAAACATAAAGATCAAAAATAGATTTATGAAATCAAAAGAAAAGGAACATGAAAATCATGTAGGTTTTCAAATGAAAACATATCAATCAAATGAAATCATAAATCAAGATTCAAGTCATACGAAACCAAAAGGTTTTCAAATGAAAACATATCAATCAAATGAAATCATAAATCAAGATTCAAGTCATACGAAACCAAATCAATATTAAATTTTGTCGTATCCGACAAAGATCAAAAGAGGCAACCAAATCTAGCTCTTGAGCTAGTATCAACCCATATAAATATTTTAGCACCCGGTAAACAATGTTTGGGAATAAACACCCAATAACTCCGGAGAGTTATATAAACATAGTCCTCTCATTAAAGTAAAAATAATAATCATGAAAACAAAAGATTTGATACAAAAAAATTGTTTTCATAACCAAAAGATTTTAAAGCATAATTTGAAAAACCAAGAAAAGGGAAAAATAAGAGCATTAAAATTCTTGGTTTAAAAATCAAATTTGTTTTGGTACCCAAGAACTCTTGGTACCAAAAGATTTAGGGACATGACCCCTATCATTTAAGCTCAAAGCCCTAGGGTTATGAACCCTCTTAGGCATATATGGTGCACTAACATGGTCAAAACAATATTCATTCAAATGACCCTTCCGATTGCAATACGTGCAATGAAAGAGATCCATTTGTTTTTGTGGACCATTACCTCGTGCACAGGAATCATTTGCAAATAAAGATTTTCTTTTAAAATTATTTTGCAAATGAGAAACATTATCAAAACAAAACTTTCCTAAGTGGCCATATCTACCACAAACATCACATTTAAAAACATGTGGTCTATTAGAAACATTTGTCAAATGCAATTTTCTTTTGAAATCAAAACAATATTTGGCCAAATGACCGAAATGACCACAAATATCACATTTAAACACATGAGCATGCTTATGATGAACATGATGAGTATGTGCATGTGTATGTGATGAAGAAGCTACATGAGATGCACAAGAAGGATTAATATTCTTATGTTTGTGTGCATCATAATGTATGTGATGAAGAAGCTACATGAGATGCACAAGAAGGATTAATATTCTTATGTTTGTGTGCATCATAACAAAACTTAGCTAGATGACCTTAACGGCCGCAAATAGAACACTTATAAGTTTTGCTATACATGTGTGCATAATGAGTAGATGATGACTTAGACTTGGCACACATATCCATAAGCCTCTTATGATTATTAATGCATATTTTCTGTAGGGTGTAAATTTGATTTCCCGAAAATGGGAGTTTCGTTTGTATTGATAAGAAAGCTTATTACAAACTAATAATCAAATGTTTACAACAGAAGCAGAGGGAATGCCCTCTTTGTTTTGTGTGGGGACTTTAGGTGGCTATAGGATGCTTCGCTCGATGCTTGTGTCGAGTCTTCTTCCCTTGGACCGTTTGATCGAGGTTGCTGGAGAGCTTCAGTACACAATAGAAGCTCGAGTCGAAATAGTTCGGGTCTGCTTAGTTCGTCGGTAATCGGAGCTCTGAACTAGGCTGTGGTGCTGTAGCACAAGGGTTATGCGAACAGCTTGGTCTCAACTGCTTTTCTCCAAGTTTTTTGACCTCCCTCAAGCTTGCTGGAAGAGGCTTTTTAAATGGAAGAAGGACAGCTTGACTACTCCTTGAATTATGGGATGTGACCATACATTGTTCGGAGATGTCCCGTTGTCCATTCGTACCGCCAACGGTCATTCGAAGAGCTGTGCTCTGTATTACGTTTCGTAAGAGTGGGAAAGCCCCTCCTCGTATGCGTGACAATGGCTGTCAGATGCTTGCGTGGATCTGACCAAACACCGAGCGTCGGCGGCTCTCGTCCCCTTGCTCGGACAACTGAGGTGAGCCGTATTTATGAGGATGCAGGCTGTTTTGACACCTGTCTACTCACTTGTGCTGTAGGCGGCTATTCGGCAGGCCTGGAGCGCCGTGCCTTCTCTTTTCAGGTCAAGAGAGGCGGGAAAGAATGCTGGCGGATCCGTCTCCTGACTCAGACAGCCAAGGTGAGTCGCATTTATGAATGCTCAGGTTGACTCGACACCTGTCTGGTCCTTCGTACTGTGCGTGCTGTGAGCTACCGCTTGACGGTCTTGGAGTACTGTGCCCTCTCCCTTCGGTTCGAGAGAGTTGGGAAGGCCCATCTCAGCACGTGGGGTAGCGGATACGAGCGGCCTTGAGGTTTGCAGGCGGATTCGACTTCGGACTTGGGCAGGCGAGTTGCGTGAAAGGAGGATTTCCACTATCCCAATTGATCTCGACTCGTGCAGGCGAGCCGATCGTTAGGCGAACCTAGAACCGAGTACTTTTTACGTCTACACGGTTTAGGCCCGTACTAGAGAACTGAGCGTGCGAGTTCTTGAATTTCCTGTAACCCCATGGAGGTATTTTTTACCATCTACAAGACCCCCTTCAAAGTTTTCAGACCTAAACCGGCTCGCGTGTGGTCTGGAATACTTTGAACGAAGAAATTCTTGGCGAAGCAAGCGCATTTGATTTCTTTTAGGATTTTTAGCAAACCCTCAGCTATCAACGGGTTTGACGTGCCTTTAACGATCACCGTTTGGATCGGGTTAGCCATACTATTCCCCTCAGTATGATGAGTTGCTGAACAGTTTCTCTTAGGCTTAATGCTAAGATTTCTGCTCTAACACTTAGCCGTCTGAGGCGTGGGTTTAACTGTTTAAGCGAGGTCATTCTATTGGCTTCGTTCGTAATTTTACCTTTAAGGGCGAATGAATCGTCAAGGCAAAATTAGTTTTTTTTTTTTTGGGCGGAACCAAATCTGATGGGAGATGAGCCATGTGTTTGCCGATAGGGCTTCGTGCTTCCTAACTAAGGCGGCGCGGTCTCGTCGGGTCGTGGTGATCGTGACTTGACAACCTGATGTCAGCTTCGTGTGCTTCGCCCCACGACGCATCGTGGTCGTGGTTTTCGAACCCGGTCGTTAGATCTAGTCGTGAGTTTTGGTTCGGGTTTCGGGCTTTGACCGGCCTGTTCCCCTTTTCAATGGCTCTTTCGCAACTGTAGATCGAGTTGTGAAGGACGATCTGGGCCGTCGATTTCGATCGTGACCGCGTCTCTTGAACGCGAGTGTCTTGCTTCGCAACTGCCATCAGAGCCGCGCAAGCCCTTTCGCCTTTAAATAGGTTTCGTCCTTTTCCACTTTTTGAAAGTTACTGTGTGTGAAAATCTCCCAAAAGATAAAAAATTCCCGCTTCGTTTTAATGGCGCCGAAATCCAAGAGGTGTAAAGTGAAGGGAAAGGGTCCCGGACGCTACTCCGACCGCCTGTCCGCCGGTGCGACCGCCGATGTGCCTGAGGCGCGCTCGGGTAAGTTGAGAAAGTTTGCTTTAACATTCTCGTGTTGGTCACCGCTGTCGTGCCAGGAAGATGAGTGCTGCTCATTTTGCCTTGGTGGGTTAGGCAGTCCCCGTAATTTTGGTAAAACTGCTCCTTTTCAGGTGGATTTTACCTTCGTCCGTGTTGGGCGATTCCAGCCTTTATAGGCGAGATTGGTCTCTATTAGGCGAAAGTGAACTCGTCTTCTGACAGGCGAGTTCGACTTTCATCTAGTAAAGGCGAACGTGGCTTATGCAAGCGGGTCTCGTCACGTCGGGCGAACTTCGCTCCTTGACAGGCGGATCTGCATCTGCCTCCTGATTTTTCTTGACTTTGTTTTGCAGCGACCTTTTCCGACCAAGCCCTCCCAAAGGGCGTGGCCACCGGCTTCGCCGGAGGTGAAGGTAATCCAGCGCCTCCCCGATTTCCTTCCTTGGGTCCGGTGCCCGTCTTCTCCGCCGATAAGCCGGTTGGCTCGACAAGGAGAGTCACCGATGGGCACCACTTAACGCTGCGGGAGTTGACCACTGACGCGGTGTTGACAGACGAGGACAGGGCGGAGCTGCCGAAGCCTCAGTTTTTGTTTGGCGATTCTGTCACCGATCCTTCCGCTCTGCTGCTCAAGGAGAGCAGATGGTTGCGCATAGTGGAGGGGACTCACTATTACCTTCCCGTCATGCCGAGGGGGTTCTCGATCGTCGGGCTACGGTCTTTCGCGGTCCCTCGAGTGATGAACTGGGACTTGACCCCCACTCAGGACGGGGTCACCTGTGGTGTCTTTACAGGCTCCACGGCGGGATATGGGGTGGAGGGCTCATGTAAGCGCGTGACGGGTCTGCGCCCTGGCCTATTGTCCAATGAGCCGCCTGCAGGGGAGTCGACGGCGGTAGCAGAGACTTTCCGTCACCGCTTCTTTCGAGTAGGTGGGAGTTTTCCCCCAAAGGACTTCAGAGCCCCGGGGTGGGTATATTCTGCGCCGGGCAGCGATACTTGGTGGTCCAAGATCACCGATTGCATCCTGGCTGAGAATTCTGACCTCAGGAATTCGGAGCTGTATGCGGCTATTCAAGCCACTCGACATGGTTTGAGGATTAATGCCTCTCAGTTCCACAGCATCCTGGAATTGTATTGTGCGGAGAGCGGCACCTTCTTCACTCCCAATGGTGAACTCGGTATGTCCCCTCACGAGATGTATGAAGTGTCAGGGCTTCCTCTGGGGGACTTTCCTTACGAGGAGTACATCCCAGACCAAGATGAGATCGACCAGCTTTTTGACTGTTCCCCCTTGGTAGTAGAAACTCTGTGGGAGTTGCTCTGCCATTATCACATCTGCCTCAGCACCTTGGGGGCTAGGGATCACAAGGGGAAGAAGAAGAGGACTCCGGGAATCAGTCACAAGAATTGGGCTGACTATTTGTTCCCTGGGAATGATGTCAAAGGGAATCCTGCTCTTCCTCTAGGCGGGTGCGACCAGACTGAAGTGGAAAGGAGGATGGTTGAAGAGGAGGCCACTATAGCTCTCGATCATGACGAGGGCGGGTTCAAGTCTTGAACGGTCTTCCATTCGTTTCACCACTAGGACATGTCCCCTATTTCTGGGAAGGCTCTGTTCGCGGGGTACCTCATGTTATGGCTGAAGAGGTGCGTGGTCCCCACTCATTCCTTCGAGGCGTTCCCGGTGGAGGTGGTGTATCCTGCGGTTTGCTTGGCCTACGGGAAGTCCTATTCTTTGGTGTCGGCGACAATAGCGTGTATCCATCGAGGACTCCGCACGCTGACGGCCCAGTTCTGTCGCGTGTCGACTGTCGACAAAGGGGAAGGGGAAGTTGTCAGGACCCCCAATCCCAGAGTGGGACTACCGTACACTTACTTGATAGCGTGGTTTGTTTACCACTGTGAGTGTTTGATGAGCGCTCCCGTGACTCTTCAAGGAGACAGGTTCGTTCCGTTCCTTGAGCGTTTGGAGAGGTGCTCTTGGAAGTGTAAAGACATTCCTGATGCGCGGAAGACGCTCTCCCACTTTGTCCACTACAATTTTCGTCGCTTCTTCCCCTACTTCAGCGGAGGAAGATACGGCGAGTCTCTTAGGGATGCGCCGACGGCGGACCATCACACGGCTCTTCCTCGCGGCGCGTTCCGATGGTTGGTAAACATTCGGCCGGGGTATCACATCTTACGCACAGGTTCTGTGTGTTACCTTGAGCCGTACATTCCTTGCAGGTTTGCCCGCCAGTTTGGGTATGATCAATTATACGTGGGCAATACCAATCCCCACCTACACTTCGAAGGTGGACTGGTGGACGGAGCTCGGGGATGGTTCTGGACCCATGCTAGTGGCACCTAGGCTCGTTTTGAATTACCCGCGAAGGATCGTGATTTGCACCACACGCTCCTGTACTGTCGGTGGTATCGAGGCGCCAGCGCTAATCCTCCTGGTTTCTGGTTCCAGAGCTCATGTCTGACGGAACGTGATCGTCCTCTCAGAGGATCTCTCCGTTCTTCAAGGCGAAGGGGTCATCAAACCGCTAGGGAGCTGTTCTCAGAGGATCCAGTGGAGGACCCTGAGAGTTTTGACGCAGGTCTAGAAGAATCTGAGGCTCCCGAGGTTCGAGCTCCTTCTCTTGGTCCCTCGTTGGATGCCCCAAGAGAATCTGAACACCCAAGACCAGCCCAGAGTCCAAGAGTTGGACAGATGGGGGCTCCTCTTCTGTCTCCGAGTAGCTCGCTTCTCTCTAAACGTCAGCGGGAGACCGCGGCCGAAAGTTCTCGAGCAGAGGCGGCCAAGAAGACCCGTTGCGATGAGACAGTCGAGACCGCCCGAGCGGCAGAAGGCCAGGATAATGTTTCCCAGGCAAGCATCCCTGGAGCACAGACGGGAGTTCCAGTGACTTCTGTGTCCGCATCAGGAGGTAATCTTCGCAACCGTACCCTTGATCGCAATGTTGATCTTACACCTTTTGACACTTGTATTGGGCCTATGCAGGTGCGGTTGAGAAAGTGATCTACATTCCTTCTGACGAAGAGGAGGAAGCTGGAGATGACGAGGGGCCCACAGGCTCAGGTAAGCGTAGGTCTTAGCATTGCTCATTCTTCCGTACCCAACTGTCTATAGGGTCCCTTTCGAAGGGCCTCTGTTAATTCTCTTTGTGGGTTCGTAGCTAATCGTGCCCACGAAATTGCTGGCAAAGAGGATCCTCTTTCTTGGGCGGGTCGCTCGTCTGGGGAGACGGGCGAATCTGAGGAGGATGACGACGTCTCGATTCATGAGATGTTATCCAGTGAGGAAGAGGTGTTGGCTCGGGAGGATGCGCCCGGCCAAATAGAGAGATCTCCTGCTCCTGCGGAAGCGTCGGCTGGGGATCGTCCATCAGCGCGAGAGTCTCTGTTTCAAAGGGAGGCTTCTACTCCGCAAGTGACCACTTCCTTGTTCGTTGATGCTGTGACCGCTGCTCCGAGGGCGTCATTGGTCACACCGGCTTTGGCGGCGCCAATCCTTACTTCTACGGTCATGACCGCAGGCACTTCAACTGGGATTTCATCCACGGTGGAGGAGGCTGCCCTTTCTCCCTTGGAGCGTGAGCGAAGAAGGAGTGCGGCACGATCTGTGGCTGATTTCCACGACACTCTAGCCGGCTGCATCAAGCTCGCTTTGGAGGAGAGTTGTCCCTTCGAGAGTTTCGAAGAGGATCTCGACTACATCGTGGGCTTCTTAATCAAGAGGCTTGGCCACACTGCGGCGAAGCCCTACTTCCAGCGTAAGGAGGAAGTGAAGGAAGCTGTTCAACGGTTGCTTGCTCTTCGCACGAAGAGTTCCATTCTTGTGGATCTTGCGACCGGCGAAGTCCGAGCAGCGGTGGAAGAACACGATCGCCGTCTGAACGAGACCATGTCGCTGGAGGCGAAATTGTCAGCAGAGTTGGAGAAGGCCAAGGCTGAGGATGAACGAATAACCTTCGAGCAACAGAAGGCCGATAACCGCGTTTCTCGCTTGTCTTCGGAGGTAGAGAATCTGAAGCAGGTTATAGCTAAGGCGCAGGCCTCATTGGCCATTCAAGAGAAGGCTCGTGAGCAGGCGGCCAAGGAGTTGGAAAGCATTGAATCTCGCCGGCAACTGACGGCTAATTCCGTTGAGGAAAAGGATCGAGCATATAGAGATGTCAAAGAGACCGTCCAAGACTTGGCCTCTCGCACTGAGGAAGATCTTCGCCAAGAGATCCTGAGGAGGCTAGAGCATCGTCATGCTAGGGAGATTTGTGAGGCGGAACTACGGTTGAAAGCCTTGTAATCTGCCCCTTTTTATCTTTGATTGCCAGTTGTATTAGGGTTCCTTTCTATGAATGCAATTATCCTTTTTGTTTTTTGGTTACCATTATTTCTGTGCACGCTCCATTTCTCCTCTAACATGCGTTAGCTAGAGCATTAGTTGCGAGGGGCGGTCTTCAGCCGTCGGCGGATTTCGGCCGTGAGCTTGTCTCCTCTACGAGCGGATTTCGTCCGCAGGCGGATTTGGAATTGACTCAAATTCCAGAAGAGTAATCAATTTCGACTTGCGGGAATCTCAGCGGCGAATTTGCCGCCAGATGGGCCCCGCTTTCGGTGGGCCACGTATTGGTTTGCGCTTACGTCAACCAAGAGAACATGGGCACGTCGCTCTGTATTGAATGCGGCGTAGTGGGGCTCTTCGTCTCTCGCGCCCGATTCGGGCCGTTGTTGAAGATCGTGCTTAAGAAAAACCGTTGGATCTTGGCCATATAGGTAAGATCCGATTTGTTCGGCCTTACTCTTCAACTGTTTTAGCCTTGAACGGTCTAATCAAGCATTGAGTAACCGCCTAGGGTTCTTAGGGTATTTAACACCCTTACTCTCTATCAAGAGGACCTATTGTCTTCCCCAGAGTAAACCCAAATTTCTCCTTCCTCATACCCCCGATGGCGCCGAAGGTGAAGAGGGTCGCTTCTAAGAAAAGGAAAGAACCGTCTTCCTCGGGTGCTGCGGAGGCTGCCGCGGCAGTAGGTACCTTTTCGTTCAGACTCTCATGTGGGCTGAAGAGGTATTCTCCCCTTGATTCCTCTCTGTGTTGTTGTTGTGTTTTATAGATCGAAGGGAGGCGCCAGCTACCGAAGAGCACGCGGCCGAGCCTATCTTGATTTCGGACGACGAATCTGAAGGTCCTGCGACCTCCGCCGCCTCAGACCCTGCTCCCCAGCCGGGAGCTGAGCCCTGCCTTGAAATTCCACCCATCGTGGCGCTCGCTCCGGGCCAAGAGCCCGCTCCGGGCCAAAAAGTTGCTTCCTCCGAGTCCTTGTCCTGGCAGGCTCGCATCGAAGAGTTCGAGAGCGCTGTGAGACAGGTGATTTCCCTTGTCGACCTCGGCATAGGTAGCTTTGACAGCTTCAGGCAGTCTCTCCTTGATCGCGTGTCTGATTTGCGGCGATCGGGCGGAAATCGACTTGCTACCCGTTGCATGCATGAGCTCCGTCTCTTGGAGTCGCGCATGATAGGGTTAGAGACCTTGCTGTGGGAAGGTCCAGAAGCCAACATGGAGTCTTGCCTGGCTCATGTCAGGCGTCAGGAAGCCCTGGAGCAGGAGACCCGTTCCAAAGAAATAGCGGATTTGGAGTCCGTCGCCAACTTCTGGGTGGGTCAACAACATTTGCTAGAGGAGCAAATTATTGACCTCAATCGCACTATGGCTCGCCTGAGGACCGAATTGGGACAGGCGGAGGCGAACTTGAAGGGGCTCCAGTCCGACGTTGTGAAGGTCAATAAGAACGCTGAGGCAGAAACTCGATGCCTGCTAGCCTTGTGCCAGGCAGATGCTGCCGCCAAGTTGAACCGTGAGGACCAGATTCGGAAGGCTGCTAAAAACAAGGCTCGGGAAGACCACGCGAGCAAGGTGGAGGCGGCCAAAGAAGAGATCTCCACTTTTAGCGTATTCGACTGAGACTTCTGTGTCATGATTGTATTAAGACATTTTGTTTATGACTGGTTTGTTTATGAAGTCATAACTTTGTTCAAATGTATTGTCTTAAAAACTGGGTGCATGTTCTGCTTCTTTGAACGTAATGTTACGACTTTCGCAATTGCAAAAAGACCATAACTTTGTTCAAATGTACTGTCTAGAAGCATCCCATGAAGCTTGTGTTTGCTCATCGTGCGTATACTCTTTTGATATGTCGCTTTCCAGTGTTTTTCTCTGTAATTGCCGATAGTCTTGTATCGCAGGTGAAGTTTCCTTTGTGATGATGAGTTTACCTTAAGGGCTAAACTCTATCCCGATGAGTTTACGCTGTTGGCAAAGCTAGGGTGACGGCGAGCTCTCTAAGATGGCAAAGCTCGGCTCCTGTCGAGTTCACATTGCTGGCGAAACTCATTTGATTGATGAGTTCGTCTGCAGGCGAGACTCGATCGCGGTGAGTTTTGCTTGGAGGCTGAACTCAACTGCTGGCGAGTTTATGCTGCAGGCGAAATCCTTATGGTGGCGAGTTTGTCTAACAGTCAGAAACCCAACTGCGGGCGAGGTGCGTGCCACGTGTCTGTCTGCGGGCCCAAGTGATTGCCAGCTAAGACTCTGCGGGCACATTAATGCTCATTAATAGTGAAGCGACCGAACGCTTCGCCTTCCGTGCCCAATCCGATCGGTCGGTTTGGGGTCTCGAGAGGAATGGCCTTTATTGGCGTTGAGTTCGAAGCGTCGCAGGACATCTGGGCCGCTCGATCGCTTGGGGTAATAGATCTCAGCCGTTGAGTCCTTTTCGAATATATATCAGTACTCGCCTCTCTTCAGCAGAGTTCTTACTGCTTCGAGAAAAATCCGCTAGAAGGAAATTACCGCAGAGACCTTCTCTTCCTCATGGCTTCCTCTTCTGATCACAGCGATTCCAAGGGCGTCGGCTCTTCTGCCACCGTCGTCGACGTCGGCACCCTGCCGGCCTCTCCTGCGGGTTCAGTCCATGGGTCTTCTGCTCCGGACCCCGTGGCTCACCCCGCGTTCGTGCCCCTCCAGAGATATGAACGACTCTAGTGGATCCGCCTTCTCATTAGAGGAGATAGGCGCATTGAATGTATATGTCGTGATATGAACGACTCTAGTGGATCCGCCTTCTCATTAGAGGAGATAGGCGCATTGAATGTATATGTCGTGATATGAACGACTCTAGTGGATCCGCCTTCTCATTAGAGGAGATAGGCGCATTGAATGTATATGTCGTGATATGAACGACTCTAGTGGATCCGCCTTCTCATTAGGGGAGACAGGCGAATTGAATGTATATGTCGTGATATGAACGACTCTAGTGGATCCGCCTTCTCATTAGGGGAGACAGGCGAATTGAATGTATATGTCGTGATATGAACGACTCTAGTGGATCCGCCTTCTCATTAGGGGAGACAGGCGAATTGAATGTATATGTCGTGATATGAACGACTCTAGTGGATCCGCCTTCTCATTAGGGGAGACAGGCGAATTGAATGTATATGTCGTGATATGAACGACTCTAGTGGATCCGCCTTCTCATTAGGGGAGACAGGCGAATTGAATGTATATGTCGTGATATGAACGACTCTAGTGGATCCGCCTTCTCATTAGGGGAGACAGGCGAATTGAATCCCACAAGAGGCTTTCGCCAGAGCGGGCAAAGTAGGAACAGTTTAGCCTCGTGTACTAGTTGGAGGTTTTGAGGGCCAGTTTAGACTCATGCACTCTTGGGAGTTTGTGAAGGAGCACTATGGGTAGTACTTCTTCAGGTACTTGCCGTTGATGGGCATCATGATCTTATCACCGTTCGGTTTGACGAGGCGATAGGCACCGTTTGAGTAGACTGTCTCTACCACGAATGGTCCTTCCCATTTGGACTGGAATTTCCCCTTCTTCTTGGAAGTGAGGATCATTGGTCTACGGACGGATAGGACGAGCTCTCCTTCTTTGAAGGCTCGGCGCTTGACTTTCTTGTCGAAACTCTTGGCCATCCGAGCTTGGTAAAACTCAATGTGCTGCTGAGCTTCCAGTCGCTTGTCGTCCAGTGCTTCGAGCTCTGCGAGTCGAAGTTGGTGATTTTCCTCAGTCGTCATCCCTGTCGCTAGGGCGACGCGCAGGGATGGAATCTGAATTTCTAATGGCAATACAGCTTCACAGCCGTATACCAACGAGTAAGGCGTGGTGCCAGTCGGTGTACGAACCATCGTGCGATATGTCCACAGGCTCTCGCCTAGCTTTTCATTCCAGTCGCGCTTGCTAGTGGAAGTCAACTTGGTCAGGATCTTGATGATCGTCTTGTTGAAAGCTTCGGCCAGACCATTCGCTGAAGGGTTGTAGGCCGTGGACGAGAGGTTCTGTATCCGGAATTTGTCGCAGAACCTAGTGAAGGCATGGCTAACGAATTGCGTGCCATTGTCGTGAATGATACGCCGGGGTACGCCGTATCGGTAGATGACATGGTGCTTGATGAATTTGATCACGTCGCTAGTCTTGACTTCTCTTAAGGGGATGGCCTCCGCCCATTTAGAGAAATAATCAGTAATGGCGAGGATGAAGCGATGACCTTTCGCCGATGGTGGAGAAATTGGCCCAACTATGTCCATCCCCCATGCCTCGAAGGGCCAAGATGCCCTCGTCGGATGTAGATCCTCAGGAGGCTGGTGTATGTAGTTGGCGTGGATCTGGCATTCGTAACATCGCTTAGCATAAGCGACTGCATCAGTAACCATCCCAGGCCAGAAGTAGCCCATCCTTCGTAAGCGATCCCAAAGCTTGGGTCCGGGCTGATGAGCTCCGCACACGCCGTCATGTGCTTCGCGTACGGCTTCTTGCGCCTCCGCTTTTGAAAGACAGCGAAGTAGCAAGCCGTCGTATGACCTGCGATACAATGTTTTAGTGGTTGAATCGTAGTAGAACCGTGAGGCACGTCGTCGGACCGACTCTTGTTCCTTCGAATCCTCAGGCAACATGCTGTATAGGACATAATCGATGATCGGGAGACGCCAGTCTTCCTGATCTGGCTGACCCGAGGCTTGATGAGTGGCGTTTGCCTCTGGGACGTCTCTGGGTCGAAAGAGTTTTCGGCTGGCGACAGCGACCTTTTGGGTCGTTCCAGGAGGCTGGGCTAAGTTAGCTGCCAAGGATGCGAGAGCATCCGCATGGGTGTTCTTTGAACGGAGCACGTGCTCAATACGGAAGCTCTCGAATGACTCCACTAGTCTGACCGCTGCTCGGTGGAGCGGGATAAGATCTTCATTCCTGACTTCGTATTCGCCAGTCATTTGTTTGACAATGAGTTGCGAGTCGCC